GGAGCTCCAGAACGCGTCAGAAATTCCAGAAAGTTATAGCCGCTTACGCTATATATACGAAGCGCTGTACAACTGTTCCTGATTTCGTTTTGGGCGTTAATAGACCTTTTGCACCTTTGGTGTTTGTTTTGACGTGGACGCTAGCTTGGGAGGCTCAGACCGAGAACTAAGCTGAGGAAAATACAGTTGCAACACAGAACTAACTACTGAAGTCCCTTTTGGACAATACATCTTACGACGTTGACTCTTACTGAAAGGCACCGTCCGTAATGTCCGCTCGAGATCGCTCAGTTGTTACTAACCAGAAGATTCGTAGTTCGAACCGAAGCTTTGCATCTCGACTGCTCCTGAGTGGGGTTGGGCGACCTGGCGATATCTCATACTTCGTACTTCCTTCAGGTAGCATGGCAGCCAAGCACTTGAAAGGTGTTACAGCTGGACTGTTATTGTTATCACTACTCTCCGCAGCCCTGCATGATACTGAGCCCTGTACCTGTGGATTAACAGAACCAACTAGATATTTACACTACATCTCGATAAACTGCTCTAGGCTCGGAAACGCGTTCCTCGTGGCAGGAGTACAATACTCCTCGGCAAACTGTTGGACTTCAAGTAAGAAAGCATATTCACGGATCGAGAGTCTTCGTAGCTCCAGAAAGCTGAAGGGATGGAGGATATGGAAAACTCTGGGAATGTGCTTAAAGCATTCCCATGGATACGCACATCTGATCCAAAGATGCCTTTGGTGAGCGAAGTGGTCACTGATAACAGCGGCTCGCTTATTTTTGAGAAAGAACTCAATTTTTAGACCGAACACTTTCAAGACCAATTCAACTAGCCGGATGCTGTCGGTCAGTCAAATTTATGGGGGGCAGCGCATTCATAGACAGTGAATTTGGAGCTCCCGACGGCGTCCGAAATAAACGAGTGCTTTTTATCCTTCAAACATTACCGAGCTGCTGGCCCTGACGAACTCCCACTCTGTTCAAAGATGGGAGCGAGCTTCTTAATGGGTGCTCGTCTAACTTCTTTGCCTTCATCTAAAAGAGAGGGGGCGAAATAGCTCAGTGGTGAGGGCGCGAATTTACTGACCAAACTCTGCATCTCGATTGCTCCTCTTTAGGCTTGGGTAACCTGGCGACACCTCAGTCCTCGTGCTTGCTTCGGGTTACATCAAAAGGATGTAAGAAAAGCGTTCAGCCGTAGCCCCCTTCCGGTGCCTAGCTGCCATGCCACCCGAAGGAAGCACGAGGGCTGGGATACTGCCAGGTTGCCCAAGCCTAGATAGGGGAAGTCGAGTGGCGGAGGTCGGATTCGAACCACGGACCTTCCGGTCAGTAAATTCGCGTTTTAACCACTTGGGCCATCTCGCCCCCCATCAAAAGGATGTAACGGCTGAATGACCATTCTCACGAAGGTACATGAAGAGGGGACCCAACTAAGACAGACGGAATTCCGGCTATTAACTGGGTGTGTTGACCACATCTTCCCACCCTGTCAAGTGTTGCGGCATGCGTGCGTGAAGGTGCCGTACAATCATGATGTTTCTTGACTTCAAGAGTGCGTCCAATTTTGTTGACCGGTTATTGCTCAACACTTTCGTGAATATCATGTGCTGTTTCTATCCATATACTTGTGGGCGCGTGACAATGTATGAGGAGCCCTTCCAAAGCTTCTCTACAATCAGTGGTGTCCGGAAAGGGTTTGCATTCTATCTTTTTTGTTTACGTTCGTTAGTGATGAGATGATGAGACGAACAATGGAAGTTCTTCGAAACCCCCAGTGTTTACATTTCCCCGAGCGAGAACCTTTTCGACATTGAATATGCAGACAACATTGTTGTCACTTCCCGAAAGATAGCAGGAAGCGCAAGCGTTACTTGAAAAGCTGACTAAAATCATCTAGTCCTTCCGCATGTGCTTTGTGCCCACGAAGTGCAAAGTCATACTGCGAGACACTACAGTCTTTAAACAGGTTTTTGAGAATTCAGTGAGTAACACTGGAGATTGTGGAGCACTATCTGTATTCAGAAGTTGCATTAGCTTTGATGATAGTGTGACAGGTGGGATGAGCGCACGAATCTCAAAGGCCAGAATTGCTTCTGCCGATTTGCTACATTTTTGACACCATAAAGGTATATCGCTGGGTCTTGAAGGACACATGTACCCGCGCGTTTTATATGGACGTAGGCCATTTCGGTCGGGGGTCTGAGACGTCATCAGGTCTTTGACCACCGATATCTTAGTAATTGAGACGTTTAGAAAGAGTCCGAGAACGAGTTAGAACAGAGTCCAGGTTTTCGAGGATAAGCAACGTTTTACTTGTCTACGAACAAGTGTACATGAGCTGAAATGTACATACAAAAGTTCGGTACGAGTATATATGGTAAGTATAAGAATAAGCACACAAAAATCACGACATTCACCCCGACAGTGTTTGAATAGGCACATATGAGCTGACGTAGACAGGAAGTGATGTGCTGAATCAAGCTTCTCTGTTCCTCAAACTATAAGGATGAATTCGTCGCTGTTGTTCTAGAATCCCAGGATAACTCGGTTGGTGTTCGGAGGACGGTACTGAAGAAGATTCAGATGATTGAGAGCTATCGGGCTGACGTCCGGTTAGTTCAGTCGTATCTGGGTGTTCAGTATCTTCGTTGGATTCAGACAGATTGAGAACCTTGTCAGTCGTATTCTGAACCAATGGGGCTAGATGGCGAAGGGACACGATTTCGACTCTTCCGCCTCGATGAGCAATGTGTGCGTAGTGTGGGTTGCAGTTCAGGAGGTCAACTTCTACTAGTGGTTGGTACTTGGATGACCTATCACCTCGTTGTAGCAGAACTGGACCAGGGGTGGTCAACCAAGATGGCAACGATATTCCAAATGTTGAGCGACGTGCGTATTGGAACAAACGTTCGTGTGGAGTACAGTTGGTGACTGTACATAACAATGATCGGAGGCTGTGTAGAGCATCAGGGAGTACTGATTCCCAACGGGAAGGCGGGAGATTGAGATTTCAGCGCTAAGCTTATTGTTTTCCAGAGAGTACCGTTGAGACGCTCAACTTGACCGTTACACTGTGGATTATAAACTGATGTATGACTCGTAGCAACACCTTTCTCCAGAAGAAAGCTATTGATCTCAGACGACATGAACGATGAGCCTCTGTCGGAATGGATATAGACTGGCATTCCGAACAAACAGAAGATCTGTGTGAGACAGTCAATCACAGTTGCCGAGGTCATATCCGCACACGCAAATGCAAATGGGAATCTAGAAAACTCGTCAATTATTGTGAGTAAGTAGCGGTTGCGTGTATTAGATGGCAGAGGGCCTTTAAAGTCCAAACTCAGACGTTCAAAAGGTTGTGTTGCTTTAATGAGTCTACCAGAGGATTTCCAGAATCTCGGCTTCAGTTCAGCACACACTTTGCAGGAGGAAATGATGCGCTTGACATCGTCGACGGTGTAGGGGAGATTCTTGCAACGCACAAAATGAAACATACGGGTAATGCCTGGATGGCAGAGGGAGTTATGGAGCTCTCCGAGTTGGTTATTGCTCCCCGTGGGAGCACATACGTTTCGTGACAGAGTGTCTGCGCCATGATTGTCCTTGCCAGGCCGGTATATGACATCATATTTGTACTCGAACAGCTCAATCCTCCATCGTTGTATCTTGTCGTTTTTCACTTTACCCTTCTGTCCACCGTCGTACATGAATGTGACTGAACGCTGATCGGTGATCAGTTTGAAGGGTCTTCCGAGTAGATAGTGCCGCCATTTCCTGATGGATTCAACGATAGGTAGGGGAAAAGTTTTATTCTTTACCAGTTTGTTGATTTTGTCGGAAAATGAGGATATCCAATGAGCATAATATGCAAACATACCGATGATACGTTGCATTTCCGTGGTAGTACGCGGAAGAGGTAACTGACGGATGGGTTCCATGCGTTCAGGGTCTGGTCTAATGACACCCTTTGAAACCTCATAACCTAGGAGGCGGATAACTTTTGAAGAAGTGACTGTTTTGTCATCATTAAGAGTGATCCCATACTTCCTCGTAGCTCTCAAAAACGACTGGAGATTGAGATCGTGTTCCTCTTGGGTCTTGCCACAAATAGTCACATTGTCTATGTAGGCATACGTGCTTTTCAGCTTTTCAGTCGTAATGATATTGTTAATAGTTCGCTGAAAACACCCAACCCCGTCTGCGACACCGAAGGGCATGCGACAAAACTGAAACAGACCACCAAATGCTTCGAGTGATGTAAAGGGTTTGTCGGATGTAGAGATGGTGACTTGATGGTAAGTAGACAAGAGGTCTAATGTACTATAGACCTGGTAGTGCGAAATTTCCTCAGCCATTTTGTCCAAGCGTGGCAGAGGGTAAGCGTCCGGATATGTGAACCGGTTGATAGGTTGGCTGTGGTCACCAACCATCCGGTGTTTGTAATTGATACTCTTGGTGACCGAAACCTGCGCTCTCCAGGGAGACGTTGACGGTTCGATGATGCCTTCTTGCAATAAGCGGTCAACTTTGGCGCAAATGTATTTTTCATCATGCGGTTGATGCCTTCTTGATTTGGTTGCGACAGGCTTGCAATCCGGAGACAAGTTGACGAAAAGTGATGGTGATTTAACGTTTACAGCCGTCAGGCCGCAGATGGTGAGCGCATCACGATCCTCGCCGAATGGAATTTCTACCTTGCCATGTAAACCTAAAAAGTCGTGCCCAAGTAAAACGTCGGTGCAGAGGTTTGGCATTACAAAGAGCTTCAGTTCATTGCGTGAGGTATCTCTGTATCGGACAGAAACACAAGCGTACCCAGTCGTCCGACAGGATAGGGATGTAGACGCCATTGTGACGACTGAGAAAGTTGGATAAATTTTCCAATTATGCAGTTTCACGACCTTAGCGTTAATGAAACTGCAAGAACTCCCTGTGTCGACCAGAGCACGGAGAGTGATGCCATTGACTTCGATAGTTGCGATGGCATGCGCCAGGCAGGTAGGAGCTGCTGCAACGAATAATGACGATAAAGTAGGCTTTGTTGTACAACTTGTGTGGAACTTGGAGGTATTTTTTGAACGGCACACGCGGCGGAAGTGACCGCGTTTACCACAAAGATTGCAGACGGCTTCGCGAGCGGGGCACTTTGGACGAGGATGTGCATCATAACCGCAGAAATAACATGTCTGAATGGATTTTACAGCAGCAGTGGTGGGATCAACACGCAGTTCGGGATTCTGTGAAATGGGTGGAATCGTAGAGCAAGATATGGGTTCGTTACTAACATATGACTGTGACTGTTTGTGAGCCAATTCGAGGGACCTAGCCAGCTGATATGTTTGGTCCAGAGTGAGTTCGCTTTGTGCTAGAAGCTTCTCGCGGATGGATGTGGACGCCAGGCCATTAATTATAGCATCACGCACGCACTCATCTTGATATTCAGTTGCAGACACAGATTTAAACTCACACTCTTTGGCTAATGATTTCAGTTTTTGTACGAACTGATCGATATCTTGTCCACTCTCCTGTTTGTAGGTCTGTAGCAGGTAGCGTGCATATATGACATTTTTTGGACGGACATATAATTTCCGTAACGTGGCGATTGCAGATTCATAGTCGGTGTGATCAGCAATGTGATCGTATACTAATGGATCCACAAAGTGGATGAGAGTTTCAAGTTTGTCGGGTTTAGAAGATTCGACGGTTTTCAGATAGGTTTCGAAGGTACGAAACCAGTGATTCCAGCGTTTTGCTGCATCTGCGGAGTTTGGGTCAGCGTCGAAGAACCGAGGTCGTAGTTGCGGGTCCATTGTGTTCTTAGACAAGTAAATTGAGACGTTTAGAAAGAGTCCGAGAACGAGTTAGAACAGAGTCCAGGTTTTCGAGGATAAGCAACGTTTTACTTGTCTACGAACAAGTGTACATGAGCTGAAATGTACATACAAAAGTTCGGTACGAGTATATATGGTAAGTATAAGAATAAGCACACAAAAATCACGACAGTAATATACCTGGTGTCGGATGGAACCATCGAATCCGCAACGAGGTATCGGTGGGCTAGTTCTTTGTGAGACAGGCGTTACTTCACTCAAACGGTACACTTAGCATTGCTAGCTTAGGTGGCTGGTCATGTGTTACGCATCCAGAGTTACCGCGATGGGACAGCAGCCACTTGTTAAGGGTGATGTCCTAACTAAGTAAAAATAACCGTTCAGCTGTAGTAACCTTTCGGTGCCTAACTGCGGTGCCACCCGAAGGTTGCATGGGGGCTAGGATACCGCCAGGTTACCCAAGCCTAGACGGGAAGTCGAAAAGCAGAGGTTTACTTCGAACCACAGACCTTCCGGTCAGTAAATTCGCGCTCTAACCACTTGGGCCATCTCAGGCCCAGCCAAGTCATTGAATTTATGTTGTTTTCTTTCTTTGGGAGGGCAAGGGCTGCTAGGGCTATACGGTGGAAGCAACAACTTTGATGCAGGGTCACCAATGACTGGTCACTAGCTTCCTATTTGTCTCGTCCCGGGGTCACCATTCGAGGAGGTGCCAACTCATAAACCAACCGCATATGGGTTATTTCCATCCGGCACGTGATTAGGCGAAGTGGATTCTGCGAACCAAGCTTCATCACTTTTATCGGTAAAGTTCTAGGTTGTAAACGGGCTGAGATATTTCCAGGGTGCCATAATCTTGACGAGAGGACGATTAGGGCCCTCAATCACAGTTTGTCTCAAAAGCTTAACCACAAGGCAGTGGTGATTGGCTTGAAGCTAATCGGGTACCCGAGGTTGTAATGAGCAAATTGCCAGAATTTCCAACCTGGAGGATCGGANTGGAGGCTCGGAAGAGTGTGTTTGCCAGACTTCTATCCACTGACTAGCTTGGTATGGAAGACTCTGTGGATACTGAATCCGCTTCCTCCAGTACATCCAATAAGTTACTGTGGTACACAAACTGTGGTACTCCCTTAAAATCGATGTATACTGTGTCTCCGAAACACGCATACAAGACCCGAGCGTGGCTCTGCATCTCAGAACGCCAAGGATGAACTCAGCTCTCTCACACTTCTCCCTCCGTGTGTCCGGTGACCCCGAAGCAATGACTCGTGGAATATATGGCGTGGGAGTTGCACTCAACCCCAGAGCTGA